GTGAAAAAACACCAGGTAATGATGTCATACATGCAGCTTGGGTTTCTAGGTCACCCAACTAACAATTTCCTGTACATGGGAGATGATGTTGGTAAAGGCTGACTGACTGACTGAGTTTTGGTTTTACGCCGCCTTTAGCAATATTCCAGCAATATCACGGCGGGGGACACCAGAAATGGGCTTCACACATTGTACCCATGTGGGGATTCGAACCCGGGTCTTCGGCGTGACGAGCCAACGCTTTAACCACTAGGCGCCGCCCCTTTAACCACCGATGGAGTAGCCTGTTGGTCCGAAGCTGAGATCAGGGGTTGTACTAAAGATACTGGAATATTGCTCCACCGCCCCAGTTTGAGACTAGCCTGCTAACGCCAAACCACCAAGGCACTCAGAGATATATTCTTTGACAAAGACAATGTATATGAGTGTCAACAGGTTGATGTACACCGTATGAGTTTCAGAAGAGGATGCGTCATTACTTGTTGCTATCACTGCGACACCCCAGACTTTGGAAGCTGGAACTATAGAACATATTTTTGTGTCTGAGAATGAAAAATACTTTCTCGTACAAAGGCTTGAAATTCTGTACTATGATTCTCATTTCCTATCTTATTGTGTTCGGTCCACCGAAACTAAACACATGTTTGCTTTCAAGGAACTGCAATTCCCCTGGCCTCAGTCAGTTCGCTTTGTTGGTGAAAGGATGTTTATCGCCAATAAGTGCACTCATTTCTATGAATATTTCTTGCTGATGTAGGGCTATTTGCTTTTGCTACGTCATTGAATTGCAGTAATGATGTTACAATCACTGTTGCAGTTTTGTGTTACTGTCAGATGTTTGGTAGAGCACTTGGCTCTGAACTAATTTTGTGTTAAAAGCATTTCGTTCGTCATGCCCACGGGTCAAGTGTTTGTTGGATGTTGTTGCCAAGCTACCCTGTTCTTAGTCATATTCCAGTCATCACTGAACTTGTTTCGGTTCCTTCTTATGTATACACACACACTATCATTCTCACACGGCAAACTTTCCAGTACACGCAGCAGTTTCTGAAAGATACAATACAGCCATCCTCATACAAAAAGGATAAAAATTAAGAATAGGAAAATACCTGATTGTAGGGCTGCGCAATATAACCGGTTTACCGGTATTTACCAGTTCAGACATGAAATCGATACGTATTGCGATACGCTGATCGAAAACCGGTATTTCGACATATATTCGGAAAACTTCGTAACACTCGGAAATGTTCGGGTATTTCCGTTTTTCACACCGGAAGTCAAGTTAAGTTCGGTTTGAAGTTGTTTTCTAAATATTTGTTCAAGTGTTTCGCAATGTTTTGGATCTGAATGTTTTAAATATTTTCTCATTAATGTCCAGTGATCTCTGCCTGACCAGGTCAAGTTGCTGTCTAAAATCTCAGGGCTTTTTTGAGAGTGGAGAAACTAGTTCAAACTAGTAACCACTGTGTTGATGTTAAATTGTTCCTTTCCTTGTTTCAACTCGAGTATAAGTAGTTTTTTTTTTTAAAACAAATCTTGCAATATATTGCAATACATATTACAATATATGCTTTCGCATCGCAATATATCGCAATATGAAAATTCACTGCAATACCCACCCCTACTCATCACTGTATTGTCTGGTCCAGACTCGGTTATTTACAGACCGTCACCATATAGCTGGAATATTGCTGAGTGCGGCGTAAAACTAAACTCACTCGCTCACTTTTAATTTGTAGGCGATTAGTTGTTTTGGGGTTGTTTTCTGTTTTGCTTTAAAAGTAGATTTGGTAACAAATAGAGCAGTAGTAGTTTATATAATGTACATTTTTTACAAGCCGGAAGACTTCTTGTTCTCATGGTCAATCTCAGGGTTGTAAAATAGTTGGGATAGGCAGAGGAGACACATTGCAGTATGCCAGCGTATACCATATGCAACTCGTCTCGGAGTATGAGCAAGCTTGTAGTTGGAGGATCTCTTGGAGAGATAAAGATGGCTGGTGAGTTGCACATTTTATCATCACAATTTTAACTGTACCACTAAAACATTACTCTCCTATACAATGTGCCGCGAAAAGTTATATGCTGTTCACGCTATGACATATGAAATTTAATTCACATATGCCTTTTGAGGCATGAAACATGAATTTATACAGTAAGACAGTGTATACAATTTGTCTTCTGGATTAAAATGGAGTAAAGTTTATTTAATCAATTCTATTTGCAGCAGTGAGTGAGTGACTTAAGTTTTACGCCGCACTCAGCAATATTCCAGCTATATGGCGGCGGTCTGTAAATAATCGAGTCTGGACCAGACAATCCAGTGATCAACAGCATGAGCATCGATCTGCGCAATTGGGAACCGATGACATGTGTCAACCAAGTCAGCGAGCCTGACCACCCGATCCCGTTAGTCGCCTTTTACGACAAGCATAGTTGCCTTTTATGACAAGAATGGGTTGCTGAAGACCTATTCTACCCCGGATCTTCACGGGTCTCTAATTGCAGCAGGCGACAAATTAGGTTGCAAAGCAGATAAGTTGGTTCTTTGAGGAAAATGGAGCTGAGATTGAAGATGAAGAGGTTCTTGCAGTACTCTCTCTGAAGGACAAGATCATGATTCTGGGTGAAGGTAAACTAAAGGTTAACAGGGAAGCATATTCCTCAAATCAGGGATTCTATTCCTTTTACACCTTGTCCCGGCTGTTAATGGTAAACTTAATTGGATAACAATCTTCTAGCGTATCTTCTTTTTGAAATATGCAACCTGCTAAACATCAGAACATTGTCACAACAATAACTAGTCATTGTAAAGATTACAAGAACAAACAATGTCACACACTAAATATATTTTGCAGAAAGGGTAAATTATGTGTGATAATAAACCTGTCCCATGATTTTGCAACCGAAGACTGACTGACTGACTGACTGAGTTTGGTTTTACGCCGCTTTTAGCAATATTCCAGCAATATCACGGCGGGGGACACCAGGAACGGGCTTCACACATTGTACCCATGTGGGGATTCGAACCCGGGTCTTCGGCGTGACGAGACAACGCTTTAACCACTAGGCTACCCCACCGCCCCTTGCAGCCGAAGAGTGGTGTAAGAAAGATGCAGTGCCTTCTTGTTCGGGTTCTACAGGTGACTGTACTGAAAGTCCTAGAATGAAAGGTAATGCATGTTTTGATATATTACAAATTTCTGTGTACATTGACTATTACAGGAATGGCAAGTTTTCAACTGTAAAAGCACTTTAAACTTTGTAATTATAATTGAGTTATGCACTGAACATCCGGCAACATTATCGTTTAATTGATGAGGTATATGACAGTGTCCATGGCAGCTTTTCTGTTTACAAGTTTGTAGAAGTTATCAATAATGGATGTAAGAATTTCTAACCCTTGGTTAAAATGTTTCAGTGCTTGAAGTTCCGACATTGCCATCACCTTCCACTAGGGGTGGGTATTGCAGAGAATTTCGATATTGCGATATATTGCGATGCGAATTATTTTTTAACAAAAACTACTTATAATCGAGTTAATGCTTGATTATAAAGCAAAAACACAACAAAATCACTATGATTGATTAACCTTTAATAAAAACTTTTAATCATGACAAAATAAAAACGTAAGTAATATTTGGCACTAATGAAATAAGGAAAAGAACAATTTATAAAGCGGAAATATCCGAAGATTTCCGAGTGTTACGAAGTTTTCCGAATGCATGTCGAAATACCGGTTTTCGATCAGCGTATCGCAATACTTATTGTTTTCATATCTGAACCGGTGAATACCGGTAAACCGGTTATATTGCGCAGCCCTACCTTCCACTGCCTGCATTACAACACGGGCACCTGATCCACGTTTAGCGAGTACGTCCATATCAAGCTTATCAACAAAGAGTCACATCTTGTTTGGGGCCAGTGTATTCGTGAAGCAGCTTACTACTACTTGGTACAATATCCAAATATTGGAAAGAGTAACCAGTCAGAATATCAAACTATTGGGGGAAGTATGCATGGACAATACCCTGCGATTCGCCGTGATAGACCACACCCATTGATAATTATGTACACATATTCATAATATGTTACTTGATTTTACTTGAAAGAATGTTAACATACTTCAATTTGTTACAGGGACAGCCAACTCTGACTAGTTAGTGTTATGCATTATAATCTATATGTTGCAGTCAGCATTTGCGAAGGACCTTTCAAGTAGAATACGCCATGTGAGGTGGTCTCCAGGGTTCGAAATACCCCATATATTAGTGTGCCATGGCACAGTAAATATTGAAATGGCACGGCTGAAATATGTTCTCTGTGCCCTTTTGACACGCCTAATTTTCTAGACACATAACTCACATTCAGTCATTTAATCCCCAAAACAATTAAAAAAATTCCAAACTGAATAATACCATACATATTTGAATGCTCATTAACCCATTTCTTTATTTAACAATAAATTTCAAATGATCATCATCATTGTCATTTATTCTAAAAACATGTGGGCATACTCGATTTCTGAAAGGCACACCTAAAATATTTGTCTGGTGCCCTTATGCACACTTAGAAAAAAAGTATGTCTATCCCTGGTCTCAAAATAGGAAGTCCCTTTTGCCATACTCTTGACAACACTGGAGACTGCAATCCATCACCAGCGAAGTTATTGTGTGGTACACGATAATAGGTCTCCTAGCAGTAAGCTTAGAAAAATACCGGAAGAGGAAATGGAAAAGCATTTATCAAAACTGGGGAAACTCAGTGAAGAGATGGAACAGAAACATATCAGTGATGAAAGGCTTCTTAGAGTTGCCAAGGATGTCAACATTCTGTTGAAGGAAACCTTTGCAAACAGACGAGAGTGGGTAGAAGCCCAGAGGGAGAGTGGAAGCGTGAGACAAATTACAGACCGTTATCCATGTTTCACCAATCCCATCTTTGTGAGTTTATGTATATCAGTTTTGTAGTTGGGTTCCAAATGTTAGTGTAAAAGGAAGGAAACATCTTTCCTGAAAAGACACACTAAAAACAGTTTGTATTATACCTTGTCTTTCAGTGGCATTTAGAAGTTGTACATTGATGTCCAAGATATTTTTATGGATTAAACTTCTTTATAATTTCCCTCACGACGTTTCGAGACCATTCCACGTCTCCTGATGAAGGGACCTGGAATGGTCTCGAAACGTCGTAAGGGAAATTATAAAGAAGTTTAATCCATAAAAATATCTTGGACATTTTGTACCTTGTATAGGGAATGGCTGTACTGCTACTATCCTTAAATCTGTGCTTCTTTCATTTTAACTAGATTAGAGGTACGACTGAAAATAATTCTGAAAATACCACTGTATTGTGAACTCTGTTACAGGTCTTTGCTGAACTGAAGCTTATTAAGGGCAAAGACGTATGGACAAATGCCCAGAAAAACTTGGACTCTCTATTTGATATCACTAGGTCACTTCAGAAGGGAGATAAAAAGGAGGTATGTCAAAAGTGTGTTGTATAATGTACGAAAGTTAATGGAATCAGTAGCTCAGCACCTCCAAAGGTAATGATCGTAATGAACTTGATGGTAAAAGGAAAACTGACTTTTTATCTGTGGTTTTCAGATCGCCACATTCTGGTTATTCCTTTTAGCAGATAGGTAATGGGACATCTTAGCAGTGAGTATTGTCGTGTAATGTGTTTACCCTATGGTCTTGTTAAAAGTTCTAAATGGCTATACGTTTTCCTTTCACAGGGCTTCGAGGCAGGTATCTCTTCATTTCTTTGGATAGAAAAAGAAACTGCATATGACCGGGGAAAGGGAAGAAAAACTGCTTCTATTTTAACAGTCCACCGCGTAAGTAATAATATATATACTTCAGCTGTTGCCCCGTTTATGTCCCATCATATTTAAGAGTGTGAGTTTAACCCCATGCTGAACAGCATTCGAATTATAAGGGAATGCCAGATTAATTCGGGAGTAGGATTAAACCCAAAAGCACGGATTGGGGCTGACAAACCTAGAAATGTATTCAGTGTGAATCCAGATTACAATCCACAGAATTCTTGTGTTCTAAGAACTATACAGTTCTGCACAGCAAATTGAGGCACACTTACACACGAGGAATGCCCATGTCCTCTCATATTGAGGGGTCATAATAATTAAAGTATATATATACATATACGCTTTATATATTTTGGAAAATTTATACTATGCCAAACAAACTCATTGGGGTTGTTGTATTGTTTGTATCATGTTTTTTTCAGGATCTTTCACCTGACGAAAAAGACAAAGCTGTAAACGGTGTGTCAAACGAACATTCCCCACGTCTGGTGGTGTTTGTGAACAATGAGGCAGTAACACATGCTCTTGTAAAAGCTGACCGCCTCCGTGGTGTAGTGGTTAGAGCGTCCGCCTGGAGAGCGGAAGGTCGCAGGTTCGATCCCCGGCCGCGTCATACCAAAAGACGTTAAAATATGGTACTTGTTGGTCCCTGCCTGGCGCTCGGCATTAATGGGTACAACAAGGACTGGTCGGCTCGGAGTCAGTATAATGTGTCTGAGTGGGGTATTCATGCTTCACTGCGCATGGTATCTCAGTGGGCTAGCACTATAAAACCAGCTGAAGTATGGGCTAGTACAAGCAGCCGCACATACACATACACACGCATGCACGTCGTCATATGAGCGAAATATTCTCAAGCACGACGTTAAACCCAATTTCAACTCACCTCTTGTAAAAGCTGATAATGTTAACCTCTCATCATGCCCACCATTCAGAAAGTCAGTCTTCCATTTGCTAGCTGTGTACTACATTGCATGGCTATCTTATCCAAGACAATATTCACAGATTCTTGGCCACCTACAACAATTGGTTGTAGGTGAAGCCTTCACCGAACAAAAGTCCATAAAGTATGTGCAGTTTCTGCACATGTTCAGTGATTGGGAAAGACAGTTTGGTCAATGTTCCAATTAGAAACAAAGTAAGCCATCTGAAAATATGATCGGTCCAACTTCCCGATATTGCAAAGCCAATAGGCAATAGATTTTATTCAAGGAAAAATAAACAATTCATGCAAATCGTGGGTGTTCAGTTTTATTTCAATCAACAACTAAGTGACTCAATGCTTCAAGGGTATCTTGCGAGATTTCTTTGCATGCCATGTGTTCAGAGTTTTCTGAGAGTCATGATTTTGTAAACCCTTTCCATGGAGCCGTACTACTCGAAGGAGTACTGCCTAACCTATTCCTCAATTTTGTCAGTATTTGGTTTTGATGTGAAAAGGTACGTTCACAGTCTGCTGTATGAAGGGGCAGAGACAGACCAATCTATATATGTACAACAATTCATGGATACAAAATTGTCAGTTCTTCATTGGTTTTGTTTAATCGCAAGATGTTTAGTTCCTGAACACAAGTGATAATGTAAACAGCGTTTTGCGTTTAAAAAGGGGAGACATTTGTTAAACAGCGTTAAGTGATTAGATTGTAAACACCAATACCGTTTAGAAACTAAACCATTGTTTAGCTGGTAAACACGTGTTTATAACATAAACAACGTTTAGATATTGAACACATAACGGTGTTAAAAACGTAGGACAAAAATGCGTTTAATTTTGCGTTTAATATATAAACAGTCATTTTTACAGTGTACTGACTCCGAGCCGACCAGTCCTTGTTGTACCTATTAATGACGAGCGCCAGGCAGGGACCAACAAGTACCATATTTTAACGTCTTTTGGTATGACGCGGTCGGGGATTGAACCCGCGACCTTCCGCTCTCCGGGCGGACGCTCTAACCACTACACCACGGAGGCGGTCTACTAAAATCAGGAGATGCAACAGCGACGTCAAGGAAATTATGTATTTTATCTGTACTAAAGCTTCCAGTAGAAATGTGAAAACTACTCACACACATAAGGCAAAAGACGCTCAGATCAACCGAAATTACTGATGAAGAAATACTCCTAAACAAACCGCCTTCGTGGTGTAGTGGTTAGAGCGTCCGCCCGGGGAGCGGAAGGTCGCGGGTTCGATCCCCGACAGCGTCATACAAGAGACGTTAAAATATGGTACTTGTTGGTCCCTGCCTGGCGCTCGGCATTAATGGGTACAACAAGGACTGGTCGGCTCGGAGTCAGTATAATGTGTCTGAATGGGGTATTCATGCTTCACTGCGGCATGGTATCTCAGTGGGCTAGCACTATAAAACCAGCTTAAGTCTGGGCTAGTACAAGCAGCCGCACATACACATACACACGCATGCACGTCGTCATATGAGCGAAATATTCTCAAGCACGACGTAAAACCCAATTTCACCTCACCTCACCTCACCTCACCTCACTCCTAAACACTTACATCAGCACTAGCTACCGCAACAACAAAGTTCAAAGGTTATAATGCCCGAAGACGGTGATACACAGGTCACGAAAAATTATTTTTATCGCCGTCTACTTCAAAAACATCTTTTGTGGCAAATGGTTCAGTTTTATATATAATTATATAATTATACATGATGTTGTGATGTTGCTGGAATATTGCTAAAAGCGGCGGCATAAAACCAAACTCAGTCAGTGTAAAGGGGGGCGTGGGATTTAAGCTGATAACCAGGATTTGGGTTGCTTTCTTGTTTAACGCCGCACTTAGCAGTATTCCAGCTATATGTCTGTACATAATTGAGTCGTCTGGACCAAACAATCCAGTGATTAACTGCGTGAGCATCAATCTACGCAAAAGGGATACGGTGAAATGTGTCAACCATCAGCGAGCCCGACCACCCGATCCCGTTAGTCGCCTCTTACGACAAGCATGGGTAGTTGAAAAAAACAATTCTAACCCGAATCTTCACGGGTAGGTTGGGTATAAAAGGGGGCGTGGGCTTTAAGCTGATAATGAGCCTAACCAGCGTGCCAGGATCACACGAACCCTATTTGCGGGATTTGTTGGATTCAATCACTTTATTCTGCAAATGACATCAACAATATCATCATAACCCTTGCGAGCCCGTGAAGATCCGGGGTAGAATAGGTCTTCAGCAACCAATGTGCTTGCCATAAAAGGCGACTATGCTTGTCATAAGAGGCGACTAACGGGATCGGGTGGTCAGTTTCGCTGACTTGGTTGACACATGTCATCGGTTCCCAATTGCGCAGATCGATGCTCATGCTGTTGATCACTGGATTGTCTGGTCCAGACTCGATTATTTACAGACCGCCGCCATATAGCTGGGATATTGCTGAGTGCGGCGTAAAACTAAACTCACTCACTCACTCATAACCCTTGCGGGCACGCACAGTGTTTATCGTATCAATATTTCAGCGCTTTAACCGTAAGTTTAGACCCGTGAAGATCCGGGTTAAAATTGTTCTTCAGCTACACATGACTGTCGTAAGAGGCGACTAACGCGATGTCATCGTATCCCATGCGTATAGAACGATGCTCGAACTCTTGATCACTGGATTGTCTGCTCCAGATTCGAATTTTTACAGACCGCTACCTTATAGCTGGAATATTGCTGAGCGCGGCATTAAACTACAACCAACCGACCAACTAATCGTAAGATTGACAGATGTCTATTTCTCACAGATATCGGTGAAATAAACACAGTGTATTCATTTAGCGATAACAGCGTAACCGGTCCACCTTAAGGTATGTAATGCTTAATAATGTCTAGGATTGTTTAACTGAAAGCGAAAGTTCAACATGGAAGATTTATGAACGCTACATTACATCTGCGACGTCAGGTGATGGTTTAAAGTTAGCATAGATCGCCGTCAATAAATACAGCTGGTTGTAAAAAATATTGGTTATTGATTATAATTGTTAGTGTGTAAGTTTTGAAAATTGTTAATAGTACAACTTTAATAGTACTAAAGCCAGAGTGGTCTCTCTGTCAAAGAAATCAGACCACATTACTCCCGTTCTTCACTCACTTCATTGGCTTCCCGTTCACTACCGTGTAAATATAAAACTCTACTCTTTGTTTTCAAAAGTATATATGGTCTAGCTCCTCAGTACCTCTGTGATCTGTTCCACCGTTGTACTCCTGTACGTTCACTCCCATCAAATGACCAGTGTCTTTTGACAATTCCTGTGACTAGGACAAAAACATATGGTGACAGGTCACTCGAGACGACTGGCCCTCATCTCTGGAACAATCTTCCATCTCACCTCAAAACACAACCAGATTTAGCTGTTTTTAAATCAAATCTGAAGACGTGTCTCTTTGCTGAAGCATTTGAACTCTATGTGATATCTAGACCATCTTAGAGCCAGAGCGCCTTTTGAGCGGATTACGGATATTGGCGCAGAGTGTATGTATGTATGTATGTATGTATGTATGTATGTATGTATGTATGTATGTATGTATGTATGTATGTACTAGAATTGTTTCAAGACTTTTTCTGTCTGTGTGTCGTCAGTTAATAGGTTCGTCATGTTGTTTCAAGTTAAGCTAACAAGCTGCGGGCTTTATATATTCTACAAGTCAATTCTTTAATCAATCAATGGATAAGGGATCTACCAATTGATGGATGTGGTTGTGGGGTGTGCGGCGTCGGATGGGGTAGGTGTTGTGGGTGTAGAAAGGAATAATGTTATTTTGAATTTTAATTATGAAGGCCTTTTCCGCTTTTGCAGTTCAACAATTACATACACCCAGCAGAAACACTCGGGTAATTTTGGGTGTCCGTGGTTGTGGGGTTTGTTCTCGCAAGTGTTATACGACTGAAAAAGTATCTGGTTTTGTTCTAATTACGACCAATATCAAAATTTGCACATATCTTCTCGCCATGATCTATAATCACTCAATGACTACCGTGTATAAATGTGTGTGGGTGGGATGTGGGATGTATTAGTTAAAAAACCAACTGGTTTTGTAGATAAACAAAATCTACCCTAAATATAAAAATGAACGTTCTTGTGGATCAGTCACCAGAGAATTTTTTAAAATGTGATGTACATTTCCTTTGTCCGTTTTTTACAAGCTGTCGCGTCAATGTCACCAATCACAAAATATCCGTTAATGTGATCGACTGACGATGAATAGCACGTTTATCGGAAAATTTCATTAATTTATTTAATTAGCACACATTATGTGCTTCAGTTGACATGTTGGTCAGGCTCTTGCCAACAATACGCATCGGTAGTAATTTATGATTGGGCCTGTTATTTCTGAGGGCATATCTGATGTTTTACATGAAATAAAATACATGAAATAATAATAATAATACTTTAGTTGCAGTAAAGATTTTTATGCGTGGATTGATAAACGAAAATTTCCAATACGATTGTTCAGTAGAGCACCGCGTTGTTGTATATAGTTCAGACAAAACTGTGTTTGAGGGGAATAGCACATAAGAAAGACACTTGTCAATTAGCGCATGCGTAAAAGATTAATTCATCCGGGACCCGCTGCCTACGCGCGAAATGGAGTCGGACTGATTGCTTTCGACTGTTGGTAAGTTATTTATTTTATAAAACGCGTTTAATTTAACCTGATTTCTTCTGGATTGGAGTGTACTGACATCTTAGGATCTGGCCACATTACTGTCATCGCGGGGAACTCCCCATGATCGCGCTTTATGGCTGCGGTTTTGAGTGAAGTAAGGCAGTTGTTTCTGTTGGCTTTGGGCCAAGCCATTGAAAAAGTTATGATGTGTCTACGTTTTCACATTATCTTTTCGCAACATTTATTTACATAGTTATTGCAGTGATGCAAAGTTGTGGATTAAATATCGAAAACACGCGCAGCTCCACCCGAAATCGTCAGTGTTTACAATATCGGCACCTGAGTCGAATGGTTGGATTACATGAAGGCGTGACGTCATACAATGACCTAGATTGGCGTTTGACACTCTGCCACTATTCTGGTTTCTACCTGTGAACAATTCCGTTTGAAATTTTGTGGACTTGGGGGTAGGCGATCATTGACGCTGTCTTGCTGCAGTTCTTATTCCCTATAAACGCCATTCTTTTGGGATTATGTTTTCACATTTATTCGATCGAATCAAGCGTAGTCGGTGATGCTTGATTGAAAGCGAGTTGTTCCGAGATGAATGAATCATACTGTATTGATCAGCCACGCACGACCTATTGCCAGTGACTAAAGGAATTGATTTTGTCAAAGAGAGCGATGTTGCTGCATATTCAAATCCCGGAGAGCACACATTGGCCAGTTGAACTGGCCTACACAGGTCAATATGGGCGGGATGGAGTGCAAATTTTGGGAGCCAAATCTTGAATTATTGAACAAGACACCATTAGGTTTGCAAATACGAGGACCTAAAACGATTATAAATATTTTTAAAACAATATTGGCGATTGAATATTATGTTAAAAAATACACCCCAAGTATAGTATGTTTGTTCAACTGGTGAAAATACATTAATGTTGATTTTTTAGCAAGTTCATCTGAAAAATCAGCCTGCGTGTTAAAAACATAGTGTGTCATCAAGCTTTGTGATTTGCTACATTGGTGCAAATAGGAAATAAGTGACCTTATTTTATTCATTTACATTTAATTGTGTTCACTGTGACATGGAACCATTGCCTTTCCTGTTAAATTTAGGAAAGCCAATATTAAGTGTCACTGTCATGATGTGTAATATCTACCAGTAGGGATTACAACTGGTCTTCAGCAACTCATGCTTGTCATAAGATGCTGCTATGCTTGTAAGAAAGGCGACTTGATTGATGATGTATGTCATCATATCCCAACTGTGTACAATGAGGCGCATGAAGACCATCACTGGATTGTCTGGTCCGGACTTGATTATTTACAGGCTGTCATCCTGTAGCTGGAATATTGCTGATTGGGGCATTATACAACAAACAAAATGTCCATCACAATAATTTGCCAGTCAAAACATGCACTGATCTACCCAATGCAAATTGTTTGCCAGCTACAAGGAAATGGTTTTGCTGACAAACAGGAAACTTTACATGATAAATCTGTGCCAAAAACTAGCCTTAAAATGGCTCTTATGAAAATAATCATTTGAGTTTGAAGGTGTTTTTATAGACTCAGTAGCGAAGCTTACTTGACTGAACAGAAATTTTACTAGACTTGGGCATCAGACTAGCAGCTGAAGTCGCAGAATGCACATTAGGGCAGATAACTTCCGTCTCAGCTCTGTAAATCCAACTTGATTTAGCACTAGAATTTGATTCTTTCAACTCTTTATGACTGAAGAACTCAACTATCAGAAAAATATATTTATCCATATGTCGTGTGACTAACTACACACAAAATGTTCAGTTGGATCATTGTTTACAATCTGTCATTTCTACCCAAACATACAATTTTGTTACAACAAATTAAGTATTTTTTAAAAATGCCTGGAATGAGCATCATAAATAGGCATGTTGGCTTGGTCACAATCAGGGTCATATTTTTAAGATATGCTATTTATGAGGACCTAGTGTTTGCTTCGTCACTCTGAAGACCTGGGTTTGATTCCCCACATTGGTACAGTTTGTGAAGCCCGTTTCTGGTCTCCCCAGGGGTGGAGGGTAGCCCAGTGGTTAAATGGTTCACTTGTCATGTTGGAGACCCGGGTTCGATTCCCCACATGGGTACAATGTGTGAATCCCATTTCTTGTGTCGTGATATTGCTGGAATATTGCTAAAAGCAGCATAAAACCCAACTCACTCACCTTTAAATCTGGTCTAAAGACCGATCTGTTTAATAGTCGCTGACGGTTGTTCATCCATTGTCTGTATGTACTTAGAGCATAGCCTGTGTAGTGTGGAGTTCAGCGCCATGTTAGTGTCTTAATCATTATTATTATTATATATAACACACAAATTCAAATATAAACTTTCCTTTTGAAATACTTCCTAAATGTTTGGTTGATCATGAACAACAAATTGAAGTTATACAGTGTTCACGAATAGCGTCTGACTCTGACAAATCCAGCAGATTCGCCAACAGTCCGATAGAAGTCTACAACCCGTCGGCCCCAGTGTCTGACTGTATATTTCACAATGACTTTGATGGAAGTTGTGACATGTGACACTTGTTTGCTGTTTATAAATATTATGTTTGTTAATATACAGTGCCAATTATAAGAAATGTTAAATCTGAAATGAGTGATTAATTTTATTCTATGTCCTGTTAGTTTGAAACTCCATTCGCAAACACCGTTCATGGTGTATTCATCGAAAGGCAACAACTCTACTGTTTGACCTGTAGAATTGTTGAACCCAGGAGACACCTATTTGTTACACCATAACCTATTTCGACCTGAAAGGTTACTTTCCATGACCTGGCTTTCTTTTTCCTTGTGTGGTAGTTTCAGTCCTTATCACTGTCGAAGTTAAAACGACCTCTGACATATTGACTCTCCATACTTGCTGTTTGAGTGAGTTGGGTTTTACACACTTTTAGCAACATTCCAGCAATATGGCCATGTTCAACCAATCTCATTCAAATTACTGGAATATGCCAAAGGTGCCATTTTACCATTCTCACTCTCTAAAACGTCTGTTCTTACAGCTATTGTTTGTAGAAATATCCTGTATTTCAATTAGTGGTGGTCCGATTAATTGAAATAATCGAAGATTGGTCGCAGTGACTAAACAACTAAGCAATCGATCACATTTTTTCATAATCGAACACAAACGATTTTGGAGCTACTGTTTTAGTCTTTGAAATACTTGACAATGGAACATATCGTTGAAGTTGTCAGGGCATCAAAATATGTTAAAATCTTAGAAAACTCACTTCACTGACTGAGTTGACTGAATATTTCTTGAAGACTCCAGGAAGTTTATGTTCATGATATATCAACATCACTTTAAAGTAGCAAGTTGCATCATGTTATACAAATCTGTAATTACAACCTGGATAGGAAATCTGAAAGATGACGCTAACCAATTTTTTTCGATGATTGTTCGTTGGTAATGAAGCAATCATCAATTGTGAGATTTCAACCAATTCCCAACACTAATTTCAATAATATCAAGGGGTGGTGGGTAATCTAGTCCTTAAGGTGTTCACTCGTCACGAGGGAGACCCGGTTTCATCTCTCACATGGGTACTGTGACGCCCATTTCTGGTGCGGCCCGTAGTGATATTTCTGGACCATTGCTAAAAGCGTTGTAAAACTAAACTCACTCAATAATATCAAGGCCGAGATAGAGAGTGAGATTATTTGAACATTAACATACTCTAAATGCAGTGTTAAAATTTAATGTTAACATACCACAGAATTTGGGGAAATCCAGTTTTGAATAAACTGATTACATTTCCCAATTTTCCCACATGTATCTTGTTCCAAAACAAGATAAATCTCAGATATGTCCCTCTTTTACTTATATTTCCACTAATTGTCATGGTAAAAGAGATGTTTTTTTAAGCTGATCTATTTTTAGGGGCATTAATGTTTACCTAACATACACAAATAAGAAATAAGGTAAGAAATTGAAACAATCCTGTCATCAACCTAACTGCTTATTAGCATGGCATCAGTATTTATATGCATGCTAGAATTTTAAATGCAGCATATTCGTTATTTTATATTTTGGCTAAACTTACCAATTATTGCTAGCGACTGTAGTGCTGGTATAAATCCAGCTAGGGTCCATGTAGGTAGCAAATATAGTCCCCATGGTCCCTAGGATGGTGATCTACCTTCCGTTGTTGGTGATCTATAGCCCATTTTTACAATGTCTTGTTTATTTATTTATTCTTTCAAATGCCATCAACTAGTTGTAACTTCTACCTGTGACATTCTAGTTATTCTACTGTGACAGGTTTCTTATTCCTAATAATTAAGTACTGATATTCAAATTCTTGTCGCAATATGTCTTAAATACTGCAGATGTGAACTCACTCACTCACATTAACGTGATGTCAGTACTATTTAACAAGTGTTTACAGGGTTCGAAATACCGCATATATTAGGGTGCCATGGCACGGTAAATGTTGAAATGGCACGGATAAAAAATATTCTCGGTGCCCTTATGACATGCCTAATTTCTTAGAGACATAACTCACCTTTAGTCATTTAATACCCCAAACAAAACACTTACACAAATGACAAACAAGCAAAAACATTTATTGACTTTATTGCCCAGGAAATTACTTGAATTATGATGGATGATGTAAAGAAATCTGGCTGTTTTTCCATTTAGAGTGATGGGAGTACTGACAGTTCAGTTATTGAAGAGGAAATATATGTGTATGTTAGATATATTGAACAAGATAACCTGTCACACAATTCTTAGCTATCAAAGGTGTTGGGAAAGTAGAACAAATGAAGCTTAAGAAAGCCATCTTAAACAGAAGACATATCAGTGATAACAGAAAACAGGTTACATTTGTTGTTTACTAACAATAAATTTCAAATGATCATCATCACTGCTACAGTCATTCATTCTAAGAACATGTGGGCACACTTGATTTCTGAAAGGCACAGTTAAAATATTTGCCTGGTGCCCAAAGGCACACTTAGAAAAAAAAGTATTTCTATCCCTGAAGTTAATATGTCCTGTGAAGTTTGACTCTCATGACTTCCACAAGTTTACCTTACTAATTTTACATGTATCACAATAATTCGATATTTATCACAGTTTGTAACAACTAAATATTACACTCCTGCTTTGTCGTAAAAGGTTGAAGTTCATTTTGGAAGTGAAAAAGCTGTTCAGATATGCCCAGGTTTTAAATCCAGGTGGTCAAGACTTTACTGGTCATTTTTGATTAGTGGTTCAAATTTAAGTTGTCACAAGTATTTTACAAACAGGTTCAGTTGTACTAGATTGTGAATGAACCAGTTGAAAGAGACCCGCCATGCTAGCCATTGTAAACAAGCCCTGTTGACATGGAAATGAGAAAAACATTCCTCTGTGTGTGTTGGCAAGGTGCCAGATTGAGTTCCACTGAGCATGTCCTCTAGCTAATGTTAAATAATGTTGATTTAAAGGATGCAGAAGTAACTAGTCTGGTTGTGTGGCGATTGTTCGCAATCTGTGATCCAACAGCAGTATGTTAACTGCTCTACTCCATCATTGATTATGCTTTTAATCCATAACACTAGAGATATGACTATCTTTGTATGTATCATGCATGTAATATAATACTTTATTAATATTTCATTTATGAATCATCTGCTTGCCCAACAGTGAACATAATAGATAGACTATGGAGAAGAAAAGCATTTGTTTTGTCAGTGTTTAACGTGATGGTTTTTCTATGATATTAAGATAGGTGGCTTTGATAGACAATATAATAGTAGGGGTGGGGATGTTATTTTGTTAAATCATCTTTTTAAAGTCCATTTTATAAATTTGGTATATTTACATTGAATTCAATGTAACAATGAATTCAATGTAAAAACGTAAACTAAAATTGACATCATAGCTTCTTATCTATTCTGTTTATTGGTGCTGTTTGTAACGAAACAGATGTATTATAAACTTGATGTCATGGCTTAACTGATATTTATCAAAAGCCATGTTGAAATTCCATGTTAAATACCTCCAAATTTATGAAAACAATTACTTGAACAAAACAAATTTTCCCATTTGCCAAGTTTTTTTAATTTTGAACCAGTGATAGGAGCTTCCATCCCATCCACTACAATAATGTACACTTGTTTCTTTCCGTTATTAAACATATAGACCACTCTATGAGATTTCCTGGTACTTCTGACTAAATATATTGTCTTTTGTTTGAATTTCAATTGTGACATGTATTCTGGGCAAAGGATACATAGGTTGTGAAAATAATGATGTCATCACACTGGACCAGAATAAATTTCACCAGACTTTGGTTTCAGAGTAGTTGCTTTAGTGGCACACATCCCTATTTCCAAATCCTGAGTCCAGAAACATCTTAAACAGATCCACTGAGGCTAGAAACATTCTGCTTGGTCCAGTAAACCCAGAATTAGTAAATACAATTTCTACTAGCAATGATACTTAATTTCCCCTTGTAGCCTCAAAAGTTTCAAGCCCAAGCTGAGACACAACATAATCCTTGAAAGATATTCACAAATGCTGAATCACGACTGAAGGATAGGAGAAGTGAACTAACATATTCTGTCAATGTCCCAATTAAACTGAACTTAAAATGATTCCGCTGGAAATATTGGAACCATCCGCCTCCATTTTTTCAGTGTTCTGATTCTTCATCCATGCCAGGGACACCTGCTCGGAGTGGGTCTGTGGAGAGTCTATATTTAGAAACCAGGCCGCCTGGTTCCATACTGTATTGATCAGAAACAAGCTTGGAGGCCGTATGGATTGGGAACCGGTGCTTTGGAACCCGTGCCGTACATGCATGTCCCTCAACAGAGACTTGGATCCCAAACGGATCCACGGCTGATATCATTCACGGTATTGATTACCGAACACTGTCCTAAAACAGTCTGACTCCTCTCATTACCATTCACCGAAGACATATTGTGATTAAGTGATAAGGCAGTAAGGTGTATATTTCATTCTGAGACGTTTATTGAGTTTCGCGATGTTCAGATGAGACATGATCTCCACGTGATTATTGAGATAGATCTCTTTGAGTGATGGCTGTCGGCAAGTAACTGTGTTTTTAGATGCTCTGTGATCAGATTTAAGGATCACATTGCTGCACAGAAAATGTACACATTTGATGAAGTTCAGATTAATATCGAAGATATGCTGTGAGGTTTGGGTAGAAAGTTTGTCTTTCTCTGGACCAGAGGTAAAATTGAGCTTCTCAAGTTGCATATCTGTGATATCTGATAAGTTTCTGTGAAATTTGCATCACTTGTTTGAAGGTAATTATTTTACCTTGTTCTGTAACCTATGAATTGCGTCCTCAACAACACTTTCTTGTCATAATATTTGGTTTGTTGTTTAATGCTGCACTTGGCAATATTCCAGCTATATGGTGCCGGTCTGTAAATAATTGAATCCAGTGATCAACATCATGACCATCGATCTAGTTGGGACGCGATGACATGTGTCATTCAAGTCAGACCAGATCTTCATGGGTAGTATTGCTCTTGGTTGCACGCGTGCAATGGTTAGTTCAGGTCCCTAAATTACTCAGACATTCCTGGGATTATATATGAAAAGTGTAGATAATACAGATCTAGATCTATGCTGAGGGGTATGCCTATTTGTTCTAAAATGCTGCACTCAATATTCCTACTGTATGCTTGCAGTCAGCCCATTATCCATTTTTGACGAGGACTGTAAAGTATTACAGGTATACAATAGTGGTTTGTTACTTGCACTGGTGCAACCCAATATTACAAAGTGCAACCTAGTTATTTGTCTAACTTGCACCAGGTGCAAGTCAATTTTTGAGTGGGTAAACTTCTGAATAAAACATCTAAATAATTCAATAGCATATTTCTGATAATACACATTGCATTAAAAACAGTGCAACTGGAATTTAACTGGTGCAACTAGGTTTTATCTTAGGTTGCACCTGGTGCAAGTGGGTTAACATCTCCTAAATCGAGCCCTGATTGTAATATTTTTCTGAGACCCGGTGGGGAGGGGCTGTGTGGTAGTGTAGTTAAAGCATCTGCTCATTATGCTGAAGACCCGGGTTTGATTCCCCACATGGGTACAATGTGTAAAGCCTATTTTCCAGTGTTCCCTGTCAATATTGCTGGAATATTAGGGTGCGATAAAGAATATATTACACAATCTCACGATACTATATGTATCGATTTTATATGTCGCGATACGAATTATATCAGCGATACGACACATAATGGATTCAAGGCGCCTTTTCATGGCATAACCTTTACCGACAATATGCAGCTTGCTGACTGGTCCATCAAAATAGTCTAGCCAATCACAAAAGCTGTTAGTTTCCAACCTATTTTTAAGTAAAGCTAGCTACATCTATTTATCGGAGCGGTCTAGTATAATTTTACTATCAAGACTTTGAAGGAGATGGATATAGCATAAAAAATTGAATCGATAAAGTTTTAAAATAGGAATCGATACACGCAAGCATGTATCGCGTATCGTATCGTCAGTAAAAATGTATCGATACATTCGTGTATGGAATATTGCTGAAAGCTGTGTAAAACCAAACTCACTCACTCACTCTGAGAACCGGTATATTGGGTAAAGAACATCTCTAAAGTTTTTGTGATTATCTTTATGGTTTAAATTAAAATCTACACAGACTTTCATTTACACTAAATGTATTCCTTCGTTATTCAATGAAAAAACATCATCCTGTAAAACTATAAATTGTGTAAAAAGAAACTGACCTAATAGGGTATGTCTTTCTGATAGGCCAAAGTTTTGAATCATTCTCAGGGAAAAGACCCTGTTAAACTGTTTCCTAGTACCAGCACATACAATATGTTCTTAGTGGAAACTAGAACCAAGGCTTATCAAGTTCTGTCGATCACGTCGATTTGAAAACCAGACTGGCACTCTCGGGCGGCAAACAACGTTAATCAATTTTTCCATCCTCGAGATATCAATGTCTTGATACCCACACTGCATTCTGGGGGAAATCAAATAAAAAACATCAGTCCAGCATGATATTGAAACAATTGAATTTCATTCGTTGATCAGCGTTCGGGATATGGTGGTTGGTTATGATAGCTCCGATGGAGATGATTAATATTGTATGAGTGTTTTGGTGAACTGTTGGTACATTGATTATCATAGGCTAAGCCCAGGCTGATGCATGTATACTTGATCGATAGGAAGAAGTGTATGGATACCGATAGTGTGTATGTATACTGCAACAGTGTTCGAAAATAAGAGTGCAGGTCAGGTCTTAACCTTTTTTTTTTTAGACTCGGAAGGTTGATAGAATTAGGAATTCTTACTGGTGTTGGGAATTGGTTGAAATGTCACAATTGATGATTGGTTCATTACCAATGCAGGGCTCGATTTAGTGCTTTGTTACTTGCACTGGTGCAACCCAATATTACTTAGTGCAACCTAGTTATTTGTCTAACTTGCACCAGGTGCAAGTCAATTTTTGAGTGGGTAAACTTCTGAATAAAACATCTAAATAATTCAATTGCATATTTCTGACATTACATATTGCAATAAAAATAAGTGATTTTATCTCCTGATATTTAAATTGTATCGACAATATTGCAGCTATATCTCGTAACTGATTCATGAGTACACAAATGTTTCTGCTTGTAAGAAAAAACTTCCAGCCACTTACTTCCCAATTAAAACACACGATGACAGCTGTAAGATGTTGGAGGATTTGTTGTTACCTGCACTGGGTGCAACCTGTTACCAATGGCAACCTGTTACCAATGGCAACCTGCACTGGGTGCAACCTGTTACCAAAGGCAACCTGCACCAGCCATTTTGAACATGCAATGGTGCAGGTTGTGAATAGCAAAATCACCCCCTGATTAATATAGTTGCTTTTACTGTCCTTTGTAAACATGTATTTAATAATAACCAGGGCTCTAGATAAGGGCCGTATCGGCGTATGTACGGCTAAAAAATATGCATGATACGATAGGAAATAACTTAGAAACGTAGCAGATATGCACCACAGCAGTGGTGTACGGTCTTAGAATCATTTACAGACATATTTATCTGAAAAAAGTATTTTGTTTATTGTTTATTGACCTGTGTACACAAGACTAGCAATATTGTGGTGCATACATGAAACAAAACAATAGAATACTGATACACCATTAAAGTACTATCAGTACTCTAAATTCTTTGAGTGGCATTTTCGAAGTTGGGATGTACAATATAGAACAAACTTTATGGATAACAACTCACGAATAAAAAGAAGTTGTTATCCATAAAGTTTGTTCTATATAGTACTCTAAATGTACTCTTAAATAAGGGAAAAATAAGGAGTACGTACTCCTGATGTTGAAAAACTATCTGGAGCCCTGTAATAACAACTTGTTCTCATTGATATATAGCTGCAATATTGTCAATACAATTTCAATTTTAACTCACTCACTCACTCACTCTGATCTATCAAACTACAGATAGGGACTAAAGTAGTGGTTTCGTACAAATGACCTATTGCCTCGAAATCTGTGAATGTCATGGATTCTACTCTGTAAGTGTTAAAGGTTAAGCATTTCCAGATAAGCAAATCAGGCCAGATTATTAGAATCACGATGAAAGTGGTGCCATACAAGATAAAACAGTTGGGTTATCGTGTGAAATCTGTCGCTATCAAGTCTTCTATCAGTCATGATACAAGCAAGCATAGTTAGGAATTCACACCTTCGGTTTTAAATCAAATTTAGAGCTATTATAATTTCGTTATATACCTCGGGGCGGTGGGGTAGCCTAGTGGTTAAAGCGTTGGCTTCTCACGCTGATGACCCGGGTTTGATTCCCCACATGGGTACAATGTGTGAAGCCCATTTCCGGCGTCCCCCGCCGTGATATTGCTGGAATATTGCTAAAAGCGGAGTAAAACCATACTCACTCACTCACTCACTCGTTATATACCTCTGATTTTCCAACCCAGTATGTTTATCTCCTAATTGTCTCATAACTACCATGTCCGTTTTTCTCCCTTTGAAACTCCTTACACTGATGCAATAGGATGCACTTCATGTCAATTATTATATCTGATAAGAAGAATGCGAGGAGCTAACGGATACTGACAACAACAAGAAGCTTCCTTTTATAGTTGAGCTGAAATAAGTCACAGAAGCTGATGACATCTGACAGTACCAGTACGCTTGACTTCTTTCCTTGAATCAATTACTTGTCATAATCTGTAATTTGATGTCGTGAATTCAGAGGAATTCATATCTTGAAGTCGCTCAGTGTTCACGAATAGCATCTGACCCTCTGACAAATCCAGCAGATTCGCCAAAGGTCTGATAGAAGTCTACAACCCACCGACCCCAGTGTCTGACTGCATATTTCACAATGACTTTGACTGAAGTTGTTATATGTGACATGTGACACTTGTTTGCTGTTTATAAATCTTATGTTTGTTAATAATTTCAATGTCAATTATAAGAAATGTTAAATCTGAAATGTGTGTTTAATTATATTCTATGGGTCCTGTGAATTTTCAATGGGTCAGACAGACATCTGAAACTTACAGGACCCAATGTCCTGTTACTTTGAAACACCATTCGTGAACACTGTCGCTTTCGTGTTGTTGAGCTGGGAAACTTTTTGTCTTTCAATTTGCCATGTTGATTGTGTTTAAAGAAAGCCAATGCCTGGTGGAATTTGTGATTTCAGAAAATATTACACAATTTCGATGTTCATAGATTATTATAATTATTTGTTTTTATAGTTAGGATCCCAGGTTAGATTAGATTCCAGGCCCAATAAGAGTTGAGCTCGTTGCTTGATGGCGTGTTATTATACTATAATGTAATATCAGTGGTTCAGTGCTGTTGTTGAAGGGGATGAACAACGTCAGCTCGGCGTCAGTATCTGTTGTGTGTGAGTGGGCTTCCATTACTGTTTGGAATTGGTTGAAATCTTATAATTGATGATTGCTTAATTACCAGTAAGCACCATTAAGAAAAATTGGTTAGCGTAATTTTTCATATTTTCCTGTTCGGGTTGTTATTGCAGACAAATAAAACAGGGATGGCAATTTTCTTCTGATCTGCAGATTTTATTTCAAATTGATCAATTCTGTAAATCGTCTAAATCCGCTGAGAAACCCTGAACTCCCATTCAGTGATATAATGAAAATAGATTTTCCTGTTACCATCCCAGATGTGGTTCCTGTTGTTTTTTGAGTGTTTTATATTCAGAAACTGCACAAAATGCATTTGCCAATTTCACATCCAAAGTAAAACAAGGTAACTTGCTACTTTTAAAGTGATGACTAATATATCATGAACATAAACTTCCCCTGAGTCTTCCAGAAGTATTTAGTCTTGACGTTTTAGTAAGTGAAGTGAGTTTTCTAAGAATTATACACGTTTTCAGTGAGACTTTCTTCCATTCTTCGTTGCAGTGATGACTTAGCAGAACCCCACTGCCACAGGCTAATTTGCATATCATGTGACCAGACTTTTCTCACGTTTGTAAACAAATGCACATATACATAAATCAGAAGAGACTGACCTTCTGCAAGCTTTCCGGTGCTCTCTTCATACTGTTTTACATTGTTTGGAATTCTTCTACACCTGGGACAGTCAGATTCATGACAATACATATTTAGACATCAAAGTTACTGCATCGCTTGGTCTGCACAGGGCTTTGATGACAGCACGTGAAACTGCATAACCTATGTAAACAAAGGATTGCTACGCAAATCGAAATAGTGCCACACAGATTTTTCTATCAAAAAAGATTAAGTAGATGGGTAGACTCTTAAAAAATGAAAGCGTTAAGAAATATATACAATATATTGAATGGACTGTGCAAGATGGGAGAAATCGTCACATCTCTCCGGGCCTGTGGCAGAGGTACTATTCTGATCGCATCGAACTCTGGGTAGGAGAGTGGCTTTCTTCATTGTCAGAAGCTGTGGAAATCTAGACTTGCCACATTTTCTAGACTTGCGTGGGCTTTCTTGGATATATTTGCTTCAGGATCTGTTTGACAGACTAGCTTTCACTGTAAAACTGTTTGTTAAAGTTGAGCAGACGCATGTTGCCCTACAGATGCACTAATCTAATGCAATGTGAATTGTATTTCACCACACCTCACCTTCAGATTAGGCTCATCACAGTGTTTATGATTGAGCATGAAAGTTAAGGGTCTTTGTGGATCAGATGTTAGACACAGCAAGGCTCGAAAATTCCACTCGTCTGCTCGTATTGACGAGTAACATTTGTTTCGGGCAAGTGAAAAATATAATTTGCTCGTCCTAGAGGACGAGGATGTTTTCGGACCCAAAAGTAACATTTTTCTTTTTCCTGGAAGTTCAGCTATCTTAAATGGTGAACGAATTCAATTTTGTCAAAGATTTTGTACAGAAGATAAAGTAAGTCAGGGCTCCAGATATTTTTCAATATCAGGAGTACGTACTCCTTATTTTTTTAATACAAGAGTACTTGAAAAAACCTAAGAGTACATTTAGAGTACTGAATGGAATTTAATGGAGTATCAGCAATTCATAGTTGCACCACAACATTGCTACTCTTGTGTAAACAGGTCAATAAACAATAAAACAATACTTTTTCAGAGAAGAACGTCAGTAAATTATTCTAAGACCGTACATCATTGCTGTTGTGCGTATCTGCTGCGTTTTCTCAATTATTTCCTACCATATCATGCCCATTTCATATCCATACATACGCCGATACGGCCCTTATCTGGAGCCCTGGGCCTGGATTTTCGAAGCTCTCTTAGCGCTAAGATAGTCGTAAGTTAATGTTAATGAATGGCACTTATGACTATCTTAGCGTTAAGAGAGCTTCGAAAATCTAGGCCCAGGTAAGTAATGTTTATTGTAGTTTTATTCCAAGCCAACAATTTGGAAATAATATAATTTAAATTTATATTCATTATGCAAGTACAATTCTAGAAGGACAAGTGGAAAGTTCATATTATGCACACTGCAGGGAGAGTGCAGATTTTTCATTTTTTCGAGCCCTACATGGAATCATCTGGAGCTGAAACCCCAGGCACCCGGACCTCCATTAGTTCCAGCTATTTCAATAATCATTGAACAATACGATAGTCTAGACTGTATCTTCTTGTTACCGAGTCAGAGGTAAAAAGAAGCCATAGTTTTTGTTATAAAAATTAGAGTTTTGATTACTAATATCAAAGTGATCATTTTTTATTGCATATTAAGCTTTGTTCAGAACCATGTATGTAATGTTTGCGTCTGATTCTAGTAAGATGCGTTTCCTTGTACAGCAACATGACTGTCGCATCAACACAAGATGATGAATCACTGTCTTCCATTCAAGTTGTTCTATATATATTGCTGAGGAAATACAAACAGAATTTGCTGGCATTGCAGATGACTATCTTCCTTCCGATCTGATCATAGTTGTCAAGCCTGCTTTGGTTCATTTCCCTTGTGTGTAGTGTAATACTCCCTGTCACTGTGTGTGGTCTATCATTGTATCTGATGTTTTGTTTATTGTCTAGTCTGCTGTCTAGCTTTGTGTCTTGTCTAGTCTACTGTCTAGCCTACTGTCTAGCTTTGTGTCTGGTCTATCATTGTATCTAATGTTGTGTTTGTTGTCTAGTCTACTGTCTAGCTTTGTGTCTTGTCTAGCTTTGTGTCTTTGTGTCTGGCATTGTCTATCATTGTATCTGATGTTGTGTTTGTTGTCTAGTCTACTGTCTAGCTTTGTGTCTTGTCTAGTCTACTGTCTAGCTTTGTGTCTTGTCTAGTCTACTGTCTAGCTTTGTGTCTTGTCTAGTCTACTGTCTAGCTTTGTTTATTGTCTAGTCTACTGTCTAGCTTTGTGTCTTTGTTTCTGGCATTGT